GATGGATAGATGGATAGATGGATGGATGGATGGATGGATAGATAGATAGATAGATAGATAGATAGATAGATAGATAGATAGATAGATAGGCAACGAGTACAATAAAAGTCCAAATGTAAAGGCCTGACTTGATGCTTGCAGCTCCCCTCCATGGACTGTGATCATGTGAAGCCTGCAGAGCAGAGCGAGCCTCAGATGGAAGTGATCCATCACAGCGTGCAGAACATGAACAAGATGCTGACTTGGTGGTTTATTTAGCACACAGCTGGCCCTCACACCACAACAAGTGACTCGTCTGCTTACGCACTGCTCTCTGCGCTGACGCACCGTGGACCGGCTCAGCTCGGCCACCTTCAGCACAGAACACCAACATTTCTCATATTCCAGCGCTCCCAGGACGCTCAGGTTTATATTGTACCGACCAGCAGCAGGTCTTATATAATCAGATCTCTAACACAGCGGCTGCCCTGAAGAAACAATAAACCTGTGACTCAGTTCTTCTCAGCTCTTATATATATATATTTTAAATGATAAACCCAAAGAAGAAGCATTTGTAGATCTAAACATCTACAGTCTGATGTGAACGTGGATTTGTTGGGTTCAGATTATTCGTTAACAGTTATTAACTTTCACACTTAACTTATTCCCGGTAATCTAAATGACATATAATATTACCATAAATATCCATATGGGTGTGTTTAAACCTTATTATTTGAACTACTCTGGTAAATTTGCATATTATAAAATATTCCTGGGTCTTAACATTATTAACTATTCATCGTTTTTAAAATAGTTTGTCAGCTAAATTAGCATAAAATAATAGTATTGTGAAGTTAGGTCTTAACCTTTAAATTAAAATTTGTCACGTAAATTAGCACGATAATAATCTGGAAAGAAGTAACATTTGATGGATCGTATAAACCATGAAATTTAAATCATTTAAGCAAATTAGCATAAATAATAACATGGTTTAACCGTAATAGATAAATTACTCTGGTAAATTTGTATTTCAGAAACTATTGTTGGGTCTTAACCTTTATATTGAAATTTTCAGGTAAATTAGCAATAAACAATAACAAGGTTTTATCCTTAATATTTATCTTTTATTATTATTATTATTCCTATTTTTAAAAAATATTTTATAGTGGTAATTATCAAACTTAAATTAGTGAAATAAATTTGCATATTTGGGAAAGTTTCACCCTTAATCTTGGAATAACTCTGACAAGTTTGCATTTTATAAAATACTGTTGGGTCTGAACTTTTAATTTAAATTCATCAGGTAAATAACAACAACAACAATAATAATAATAATAATCCTTAATATTTAATTACTGAGGTCATTTTCTATTTATTTCTTTTTTTTAATATTGTATGGACTTTTCCAGTAAATTTTGTTAACAACATTAGCATAACTAATGGTAAGGTTTTACCCTTTACTCTGGTCAGTTTGTATTTTTAAAACTATTTTTGGGTCTAACCCTTCTAATTTAAATTCATCAGGACAAAAAGCGTGCAAGTAATAAATAACTGGCATTTCAATATTACTTTTCGCAAACGTTTGTGTGGTCTTAGTTTATCCTGCTCAAGATTATTTGTTTGGAATATCTCCCAGAAAAAAAGTTTTGTCTGATCTTTAAAAGACGATTAGCTTTAAGCTAGGTTAGCTTTAGCTAAGTGGCGCTTCGGCTACATTTTGGTGACTTTTTTCACTTTAACTCGACAGTTAAATACAATTTTGTCGAGTCTAGAAAATTCTAGTCTCATAAATACCCAAACACTCATTTTAAAAGCTAACAGCACCCTCATTTAAACTCTTTGCTCTGTTTTTTTAATTGTGCTAATGCTAACACGTTACCTTTCCGGCGTCTTCCCGTCGTTGCTAATGAAACACTACATTTCCCAGAAGCCTCCGCCGGCTGCTGCCGACCACGTGACTGTTTATGAAATTCAAGCACGTGAACGTGTTCTCCGCGTGTGTCGGTTTCATTTGAAGGTGAAGCGGCTGTGAACGTGAACGCGGGCCTCCGTTACAGTGAGTCTCACAGCATTAATTCAACAACACGGTAAACATGGAGGAGTTTTAACGCAACGCGACGTCTTGTGTTCGTTTTGTTTAGTCGTTTGTCCGCCGTGACGCTGCTGTGGCGCGTCAGTGTGAACACTTTTGTCATCTCTGCTAGCCGCTGTTAGCTAGCTTCATGCTAGCTTATGCAATGACTCCTGACAGCTAAAGCTAGAAAACCAAAACACGGCTCAACGTTTAGTTTGTTCCGCCGCTTTTACAAGCTGTTAGAAATGCTAATCCTCGTCCTGTGGGTTAGCCGTGTGGTTAGCATGGTGGCTGTATGCTGTCATCTCTGCTAATGTTACATCAGAGCAGCGTCCTGTAAGCTAGCAGAGCTGCTAACAACAAATCATATTTATGTATTTGTATGACAAGCAGTCAGTTGGTCAGTGGTTGCACTAAACGTCTACAATGAGAGACCCAAGTCTAGCTCCTCGTGTACTTTAGTTTGCAGGAATTTTCTGACTCAGGTGAGGTAATATTTAGATTATGTGATGAATATTAATAAGAGATTAGTTTTTATTAAAGTGTCTCTTCTCTCAGTGACATTCAACACAATAGCTGCAATGACAGATAATCTATCAGCCTCTCTGTGTTTATTTATTTAATATGCTTTCAGACATGTAATGTGCTAAATAACCTTGAATCTGCAGTGATCCAGTGAAAAACATGGAGTCAGGCTTTGACCTGAGGAACCAATCCTGTCAGCCTGCAGGGTGGAGCTTTCAGTATCCTCAATTATTTAAACATTACAGCTCACTGGTGTGGAGCACAGAGCAAACTGGGCCGCAACAAACCAGATTTGTATTTTCTGACAAGCGCTCGGTTAGTTCGTGGTTGGACAAGACGTCAACTATGAAATACACCCTAAAAATCACAGTTCTAGGTCTTCATATGGTTCAGCTTGTAGGAACTTTCTGGCTCAGATGAGGTAAAATGTAGGTTATATGAAGATTATTAGTAGTAAATGTGTTTCACGTCTCTCCTCTGTGTGACTTGAAGGCCTCTCTAGTGAAATTATGGTTTTTTTTGGTCACGCTAAAACGTCCTTATGGTGCTTCTTAAATGCCAGATGTCACGTAATGAGCAACCAATAAGCGGTCAGTACCATCGTGGAGCGTTTTTAACCGTCCAGGATTTCATATATGACAAACCTCAGGAACCAGACCTGTGGGCTTGCAGGGTGGAGCGTTCTGTGTTTCCTGAGAATCATTTTCTGGTTTGAACATGTTCAGCTGTGTTATTTAATTAACACACTATGGTAGAGCAGCTTTGCCGTGTTGGAGCAGAGTGTGGTTGAGCTGCTGTGTTTGGTTAAAGCAGATAGGACTGGATGGTGCAGGAAGAGGCAGGACTCCATAGAGCTGCACATTCCAGATGGATAGATGAGTACAAATAAATGTACTTTATTCATCCGCTCTGTGACGTTCCAGACACCGATGAGCTCCGTGGGTTATGTTTAAGAAAATTAAGTAAAATAATGTGCTGATGGAAGAAACAAGGTGCAAAGTCAAGCTGGTATTTCAATAAAAGAGTATTTAAAAGTCTAAATACAGTTTAAGGATATAAATATTACTGGTGATATAGAGGGCTGCTGTGGTCCTGTTGGACCCTGGTTTACCGACCAGGTGAGGATCAACCCGGGTCCACTAGGGAGTGTTTCCATGGAAACAAAAGACTCTGGATGTGTAACTTTACACACCCACAAATAAAAGCAGCTGATCACCAGGATGGGATGTTGTCTAACGTGACCTCTTATTGTGACCTGCTAGCATCTTACTGTTTGTCCACCGGTTCAGTAAAACATAATCGACACAAGGTGAGACTGGAAATGACCACAAAGAGACAAAACAGCTCCAGACACACCTTCATTTAAACAGCAGGTAAAAGCAAAAGGTGTTTAAATATCTTGTGTCGCTGTGCTCATGTTAAAGGAGAATGTTTCAGGTGAACCAGAAGTTAGGTCCAAATTCTGATTATACACAAATAAATACAGATATTAACAATAAATACAAGATTATTGGCACCTGATCTACAGAACAGTCAAAGTGCAGCATTTCTGCTACATCATTTGTAATTTTCAAATTACTTCTGGTCAGAAAACCTCTAACGAAGCGACTCACACGTGGCTGCATGTAATCGATCCTCTGAAGGAACAGGAAGTAGCGGCTTGGTTTCGTTTTCACGGGACTCTGTTCAGCTCGTGGGTCACAGACGTCCTTATTTAAACCAGTTCCTGTTAAACTAAAAGATCTTTTGCGTGACTCGGGCCACGTGATGACGAAGGCCTCGTCGTGTTTTTAAAACCCGTCTGACAGCTCGTCTTTACGCCTCCGACCCGCCATGACGCTCCTGTTTTATTGTCCTTTCATGATTTTATTATCATTCTTTTGTATTTATTTGCATTTTAAATGTTTTATATTTTGTGTTCAGCGCTTTGTTTCGACGTTTGTTGTGTTTCAGTGCTTTATAAATAAAGCTGAGTTGTGTTCTCTGACACGTCACCTCCTGCCGCTCGTCTGAACTCCTCGTTTCTTCTTCAGGTGGACCATGTCGACACTTTCTGCCGCCAGCGTGGAGTCGCCTCCTGCAGCCGACGGCGCCGAGCAGAAGAAGCCGCTGAGGCCCTGCTGCGCCTGTCCAGAGACCAAGAAAGTCCGGGACGCCTGGTAGGTACCCGACCGGAGACGGTCTCCTGTTGCAGTGAGGATATTTATTCATACCTCCGTGTTTTTATTCCACCAGCATCATCGAGAAGGGCGAGGAGAACTGCTCGGCGCTGATCGAGGCCCATAAAGACTGCATGAGGGCGCTGGGCTTCAAGATCTAACCGCTGGCTGTGTGCGTCTGTGTGTGCGGTGAGTCTGAAACACTTCTACACACTCCTGCAGCTTGTTTGCAAGTATAATTCACTGTGGGGTCGTTGGTGTCCCTCAGCGGTTCGTCCATTAGTCACCAACACGCAGCCAAATCAGACCAAAGAAAAACGTCCGCTTTGCCCCAGATGAGCGGTTCTGTTAGGAGCTCATGGTTATGCATGAATCCAGCGTGTTGTGCTTCAGGTGTGACCTCCGTTACAGCCCTCGTTCGTCAGCGGTGGAGAGGAAGTGGTGACGCAGCGAGCTGACGAGCCGCCGCCAGATCTGCTCTGACAGAATAAAGCCTGCTTGAATTGAGTCAGTGTGCTGTGTGAATGGGCACCTGCCCCGGCCCTGAACCATGAAATGCCCCGGCTTCTTTTCTCTGAGCGTAGTCAGAGTTGTGTCGGTAGCAGGAGGGAGGGGCTGTTTGTGTTTTTTGCCAGGTCAGCAGCTTGAGTTTCCTATTTGCTGGGTCAGTTGTGCGTCTCAGCGGCTGCTGGTTTAATCTGCTGTTGTGTTGTTAAGTGCAGCGTCGGATTAAAACGCCGCCTGATGAGGGTCGGAGACGGAGGAAGCATCCTGTGTGCAGGAAACACGCCCGAGGCCGCGCTGCATCTCGTTAGCATTCGCTCGCTCTCGTTAAGGAGACCATTAGTCAGGAGAGCTGAGTTATGGTTCCTCTGGTTCATTCTTTGGTTTCTGGGTGTAAAACATGTCAAAACTGACATTTACTGGATCATACAACACATTTATCGTTGTGTTAAGATGGAAACCAACCAATGGAAGCTGAAGTTTATGTTTATTGACTTAAATTGATCTTTATGTTCGTTTTCTTAGCTCTGATTTTGCTTAGACTTTCACTATAATTAATGATCCTGCGCCTCCTTTTTTATTATTATTTTATTGTGCAAACAGTTAATTAACACATGTTTTAAGTGTCCAGATGTGTCACGAGCACTGGACAAAAACTGCTGCTTCTATTTTACAACCTAAATGTGTTCCCGTTGTGGAATCACTGCCGGCAGTTCAGCCGAGAAAGTCCCTGAATTTTTGTCTCCTTATCGTTAGTCGAAGTCGAGTCCATCGTGGCTTCTCGGTTCCGCCGACAAATGCAGAATTTTTTGCTTTTTGCCAAATTTGGTTAAAGCTAATTATTTATTTTTGGTGATTTTTAAAAACGAGACAAATAGAATGAAGTAGTTTTGATTTAGTTCGTTTTCTGACTGAACCTTAAATCACGAATCATTCATGGACTGTTGGAAAGTGGAAAACAATCCATTTTTGAAATAAGTGGTTATCCAGTGTTTTGTTTTCTCTTCGCTGGTGAAGGATGGATATTAAGTCGGATGCATATTTGTGCAGGTGGTTTGATAGCGTGCTGCTAAGCTAAGCTAAGCTAGTTGATTTCTTCTTGGACTTCTGGGTGGATAATATCTGATGTTAGTCACATTCATGTTGGTCAAACCTGAGCCTGTTACTTTTTGCCCAATAAGGTCGCAGCAAACTGTTTATTTTTGATGATTTTTAAATTGAGACGAGTAGAATAAAGAAGTTTTGAGCTTAGATTTGTTAATTTTCTGACTGACCCACACATCACACATGATTTATTCAAGTTTTTACTTTTTTTTTTGCCCTAACAAAGTGTCTAATTCTAATTTTTTTTAAGTAAAACGTGGTTGTTAACCGTGTGGGTGGGTGTCGGGTTCAGGCGGTTAAAACCTGCCGTGGACTCTTTATCTTCCCGCTCTGGCAGCGAGAATAACTCCACAAACACTGGAGATGGATGCCGGTGACGTCCGCCTGGTGGCCATCCATCTCTTTCTTTTTTTAGACCGTAATCCTTCTAAATGCTGAGTTTCCTTTCTCTTCAGAAACTCTCGTGGACTCGGTTCCAGTGTGTTGCTGCTTGCTGAGCTGTGTGAAGTCCAGATAACTGAGTGTATTTTAATCTCTCCTGCAGTGTGCTGCTCTGAGTGGAAGACGACCTTGGCTGTTCCTTTCTTCTCCTCCCCTCTTATTTATACTCCGCTGAAGGGAAACGTGAACTGCACGACTGTCTCTCTGTGAAAACTATTTTTTAACGCGTGCAGAATTTGTGTGAATATCTAAACTGCTGTCTGACGTTGAATAAAAGTCCTATGCAATAAGACGGTTTGCTTGTGGTTGTGTTTTGTTTTCTGGGTCACTCGTCCGTCTTGAGGCCGGCGCTGGACGTTTCATTCTGCCAGTGAAAACACTTGCTCGCCACAGTTGCTGTTCCTGGTATGCACTTATGCTTAAAAATAACTCCTGCCCCTGCAAAGTCAATACTTGGCATATCTGCATTCTTTCTCTGCAGCAGCGCGTCGCCGGTGCTCCCGGCTGCACGCTGCTGCAGGAAGCTGCTGCGCTACTGCAACAGCTTCAGCTCATGCTGCTGCTCCTCGAAGCTAATTGACGCTAAAAAGGTTTTGCAGTTAAGAAAAATTCAACCTGAAGGTGCCTCACAGACACAGCTCTTCTTGGTTTATAAAGTTTCACCTTTATATGCTGAAACATAAATATAAGATAAGATCAGCCTTTATTTATCTCACAGTGGAGAAATTCACATCGTTGGTAGCAGCATTCAACACAGGTACACATATACGAGACAGGAAAAAAAAAAATTTACATATAAATATAAGAAATAAATATCCCCGGTGAGTTATCAATAAAGTTTATTTAAATGAAGAACAAACGTTAGCTTTAGCTGATTGGAGCTAATTGGAACTTGTAAATTATTTGATGTTAAATATTAAACAAAAAGAGGCCTTAGTTTGAAATTGAAGTTATTTGTCATCTCTGTTGAGAAAAGCACAAACAGGAAGTCACAGTTTGTGCAGCGTCAGTGTTAATATCCTGTAATGTTTAATTACAACATGCTGATGTTCAATGTTTTAGTTTCATTTTCATCTGTGATGTTTTTCTACTCCAAACATTTTCAGCATTATTAAAATGTATTTTAGCTTTTTATTTTTTTAGTTATGCATCATAGTTCTGTCCTGTTGTTTTTCTTTTTACGCTCTAAATTCTCCTGTTTTCACGTTAACTTGACGGTTAAATAGAATTCAGAATCAGAGTTTCTTTATTGTCACTGCATGAGATCGACGTAGTTAGACGTGCCATCCTTAAGCGCATCGTAAATAATAAAATAACAAAAACATGTTAGACTATCAGGATAAAACATTCAGTAAAACCCGTTAAACACGAGAACCACTGATGAGTTTAGTGCATGTTTGGCTTTTGCATGGAAACTATTTCTGAGGATTTTTATCAAGGTTTGAAAACGTAATTAAACCAAAGCTTGCAGCACCTTCATATTCACTCTGGGCTGTTTTTCCGATGCTAACGCTAACATGCTACCTGTCTGGCAGCTTCCAGTCGTTGGTCATGATGCACTACGTTTCCCAGAAGCCTCTGCTGCCAGAAGAGCCTTATGAGACATAAAGCTAAACTACTGAGTCATGCATGTGGCTGATCAGTACATGAAGGGCAAGAAAAAGCAAAAATAAACGTGTTCTTCAGGCAGCAGAGAGAAGAAGCAGGAGTTTGGTTTTACAGTTTGTATTCTGAAGTTAAACCTGCTAAAGTGGACGATGGGTTTGAATCACCAACACAAACATGTTAACTTAGTTTAGTTTAGGTGCATTTAATTAATTCAACAACTCACTTTTTAGAGTGTATATCATGTAATAATAATCAAACCAGTGGTGACGAGGACGGTTTTAAGCCTTCATGGTTGTTATTTGGATAAAAACTGCATCAGAGACGAATATTTTTATTTAACACAAGATGCAAATTACTGTGACTTAAAATAAATAAATGACATTAATTGCATAAGTAGTGTTTTGAGGAGAAATGAATCTGATTCTAGTGAGACTAAAGTGCAGCGTTTACACCTCAAATAACATTAAATGAAGTCACATAACTTCAATATTCAGACTTTTAGGTTTTCATATCCGCAGCAGAATAAATTACTAATAAAAACATTCAGAATCTTGCTTTCTTTTGCTTTTGTTGCACTGATTTATTTATTTTTAATCTAGAGTTTATTTGGAGTTTAGGTTTATTTAATGCACATTTTATTTAGCTTCAGCAAATTCTTCAGGTTCAACGTAGTAACTTACATGAAGTCAACATGACAGAAAAACAGGTTTTTTAAGTGATATTTTTGAAAGGTTTTGGTATTTTTGCTTTTATAACATGTTTTCTTTCCTACTGGCGAAAAGAAAACTCCAAATTAGCACAAATGTAATTAGATATCACCTCATTACAGAACATGTTCTGTTTGGATGCTAAAAACAGGATAAAACTTGATTTTATTTCTGGCTGATGACAATAATTTAATGTGATTTCCCTCAAAGTGAAACTGGTTTCATTAAATGCTCAGATCTCTGTTCTGGGAATTAATGCAAATTAGTGCATTTAAAAAATAATGTGTGCAAGACTTCATTTGCACATTTAAACATAACAGATCAGAAAACTTTGCTGTTTTTGCTCCACGCCAGATCATAAGTGAAATATTTGTCTCTTCTGCTGCTAAACTCTCCAGTTAGTGACCAGCTTTATGTGTCTGCTGCTGCAATGAGCCTAAAGATGCTTCATCCATCCATCATCTCTACACCTTAATCCTCACCAGGGTCATGGGGGGGGCGGAGTCTATCCCAGCTGACTCAGGGTGAAGGCAGGTTCACCTGGACCAGTCTATCACAGGGCTACACTTAGAGACAGACAACCAAGCACACTCACATTCACACCTACGGACAATTTACAATCACCAATTAACCTCAGCATGTTTCTGGACTGTGGGAGGAAGCCGGAGAACCCGGAGAGAACCCACGCTGCACGGGGAGAACATGGAGACTCCACGCAGGAAGATCCCGGGTGTCCTCACCGGGACGTGAACCGGCGACCTTCTAGCTGCGAGGCCACGATGCTAACCACTGAGACACCTGCAGTTGGTCAAACTGAGCAGAGAAACTGCAGTCAGGAACTATTTGAACCCTCGTTCATGTTCAGCCTTTAGTGAATGCTCAGATCTCTGTTCTGGAAATTGATGCAAATTAGTGCATTTTTTTCCATAAAGGAAAACCGAGTAAAGACAGAAAGAAGATGTCCATCGTGCTCAGAGTCCCAGTCAGAAGGATTTTATTGATCCCTGAGCTGCTCCCTCACAAGTCGTAGAAACATCAACAGTACAAAGACAAACACAAACATGTCCTAAAAATACAAACCCAGTAGAAGCAGGACAAGCATAACTGTAAAGTGGGATTTTCTAAGAAAAGTAAAGTGTAGTAATAATAATGAATCATGAAACTGACGTTGTCCGAACACACAGCTGTAGTTTATTGTAATTATTGCTACAGGAATGAATTAGCTCTGCTGTGTGAGGCCATAACTTAGCTGCTGATGCATTTATGTGTTGTGTGTGTGTGTGTGTCATGGTGACAGCATTGTGTGCTTATATCATCTGTTTATGGTGCTGCTCTGATTTAGATGAACGCTGCGAGCGGAGAGTTTTCCAGACTGGTAGCCGGTTCTGTCGGCGGGTGTTTACACCTGAAACCCGACCTGCGCTGCCGTTACACTTATTTCAGTGCCTCTAAATAAGCGCCAGCGGGGCCTCGCCGTGAGTTTGAATGAAAGCGAAGCTCCGGAGGAACTTTAGTTTTGTGTGTGTTTTAAAATGGTGTGACACTTTGAGAGATGTTTGCTGGAGTCCCTCCTGTTTCCTGTCCCCGTCCCTCCGTCTGTTATGTTAAGTAGCAGGCCTGCTTTCTGTCGCCGCTCTCTCCTCCTTGGGTTTCAATTCCAAACATGGTTATCCTTGTAGGGCTCCATCGACGCCCCCCGCCTCCCGTCTCCTATCTCCTCCAGCTGCTGGCTGCACAGTGCAGGCCGGCGGCTCAAAGAAACAGGCTGAAAGAGCTCCGCGACAAAGACGACAAGAGGAAGGCGGAGGAAGAAGAAGAAGAAGCCCATTCCAGCTGTGTTTAGCCGAGCCGTGAGAACTTTGTGTCACTGAGGAATCTTCCACCGCAGGCCAAGCGAACAAACACTCAGCAGCTGTTTATTTGTGGCAGAAACAGTTTATTTTTTGGCTGTTTTCACTTCTCTCGAGTTCTAAACATGAGCGCAGGAAACTGGACTCTGCTGGACAGTTTGTTCTCTCCGCCGCTCTGCGATGGCTGGACCAACAACACCGAAGGGGCCATCTACCATCTGGGCAACACCTTCATGTTCCTGGGCTACATGGGGGGCAGCGGCGCCTACGGGTGCCTCTTCATCTTCGGCTTCCTGTCGCCGGCCTTCGTCTGCCTCACCCTGTGGGGCTGGTTGACCATGTGCGGCCTGGACGTCTTCACCTGGAACCTGATCCTGCTGCTGGTCTGCTTCCTGCAGATCTGCCACCTGCTGTACCGGCTGCACCAGGAGGGAATCCGCGGCGAGGAGCTCACCGGCCTGTACCGGGCCGTCTACCTGCCGCTGGGCGTCCCCGTCCAGGTGTTCAAGGAGATCTCTAAAGCCTTTGACAACAAGGTGGTGGAGCTGAAGGCCGGGGAGACGTACGCCGTGGAGGGCAAGACGCCCATCGACCAGCTCGCCTTCCTGCTGTCCGGCAGGTGAGACGTGTGTTTGTGGGAAATGTAGAGCATCACCACCACGACTAGCTCCTCCATAGAACACAACCAACACTCTCATGTCAAAGCAGCTTCATCACGATGTAGAAATACTCATAAGTGAAGCTGTGTTGACCGTTTATTTGGTTTATGAGCAGTGTTAGCTAGCATTAGCTTAGCTACAGATTTACTTAGCATGGAGCAACATTAGCATCCATATGGAGCAGAGTTTATGCTCCACGAGTGCAACTTCAGCATACAAAGTGTCCATCCAGGTGTAGAGACCATGGATATGATTCAGGCTGGAGTTTCTGATAGCTCCTGGAGCTCTGAATGTTCTCTGAAGGAATCATTGAAACGCATGAAACAATCCTGCTGCTTGGTTCTTTCATAATCTTCTTTCTTTGCAGGTCTTCTGGAAATATGACAAAACCTGTTGGGTCAAAAATATACATTTATCTGGTTACACGTCCATGTTCTCCTCAGTCGGGTTCTTCTGGTTCCGTCCACCAGCTTCTGGTCCATCTCTGACTCCTCTGGACAGAACCGCTGCAGTTCAACTAAACTCGTCGTCTTTCTGACTCCGACTTGTTTCTTCATCAGTCCACAGGTTCTGGATGGTTCCAGGCAGGACTTTGGGGAGACCAGTCTAGAACCTTCATTCCAGCCTGATGGAACCATTTCTTCACCACTTTAAGGCGCCGTTTTACTAAAACTGATAACTCAAGTTGCTGTATGTATATTATTGACCCAGTAGATCTTGTCATAGCTTCAGAAGACCTTGAAAGAACCAACATGCGTTATGTTTTTGTGACAAAGACACGCGTGTTTCCGTGATTCCATCATAGAAGATTCAGAGTTCCAGGACTCAGGTTCTTCCTGTGTTGTCTCTGAACATTGTGAGGATGGTTTATAGAAGTGTTCTGTGATCCGCTCCAAAAAACAAACAAAAGGCAAAACGTTCCACCTTTAATCTGGATCAGATCACAGGAAGGTCTCTGTAAAGAACGTTGTGTCTTCTGAGGCCTCGATAACATCTTGAAAACTTTGTCTGAGTGCTGGTTGAAGAACTCTTCCTTTGTCATCACGGGACGTTGTGAGAATGTTTTATAGATTCTATAATGTGTTCCCTCAACGACAGCTACAGAACGTCTTCAGAACGTCACTAATGAATGTTTCCACTCAGCCTGGAGGTTGTTTCAGTGGTTCCTGTCCAAAACCCTGCAGATACCAAAGTAAACAGGAGCTGCTGAATTTATAAATGGTTTAAATCCTCCAACACTGACAGAACAACACCGATGATTTTACAGAATAATGGACCAGATTTCTAATTTGTGGCTCTTGGCAGCCTGTAGCCGTCCCAGGAAATCTGCTCTCTTCGTCCAAACATCCTCAGAGGACCAGAGGATCTCTCAGCGCTGGAACTCGTACAAGAGAAATGCTGTAAACAGAGTATTTTTGTCCGTGACTCACCGGTGTGTCGTCCCTCTGCTCGCTGCCAGCTGGTTCAGCGATATCTTTGTGCTCGCGGCGGCGGCCGGACTGGACGCTCGCTGCTCCTCTTACCTTAAATTAAATGCTGGCCTCGACTCGCAGCAGCGGAGCCAAATGAGAAACAAATGAGCGGGAGGCTGATTTATTTCCTAGATGAGGTTCAATCGACTGTACGTGATGCAGTTCGGTGATGCAGCACTAAAAACTAAACTATGTCATTAGTGTCTGTTTTATGTTTATACGGCTGCATACGTGGCCAAAAGTATGTGGACACAATCTTTAAACATGCAGTAGTTGGTCTCATTCCAACACAGTGAGTTTTATTAAGCTGCTAAAAGCCTCTCGGCTCTTCTGGGAGGACTTTAACCCAGATTTAGGATTTAGGGCTTCCAGTATTTGCTCCCATTTAACCACAAGAACATTACCGAGGTTCTAAATCAAACCAGGAAGTCCCAGATCAAAGGAAGGAAGCGTCCGCTTCATAAACTGTCTATAAAAGATGGATTTAGCCTCCAGATCTAAAAAGCAGAAGGGTATAAGGCCTGCATTCTCTCTAACGGCCAGCAGGGGGCGACAACGCCGGTTGCAAAAAGTAGCCGGATCGGCAAAACGTTCCAAATTTATTATGTCCCACCACAGGAACATTAAAAAAACGTTTGGTATGTTGATAAGACGTCTTCTAAATGTTGCATTAGGAACATTTTTACTTTATCGTTGTGGAAACGTTTGACAGAAGAACGCTTCATGATGTGTTCCTGTTGGAGGAACAGGCCAAACGTTCCACCTCTAACATATCAGATAGCAGAAACGTTCTGTATGAAGAACATTCTGTCTTTTCTCACTCAGTTGTTTTTCTGTTAAATCAGCCTAAAAGCAGAAGCCTGACACTGTGCAGACCATTGAGGAGACGCTCCTGGTGTCTGTCCGGGGTGACCTCCAGCTCCGCCGGCCCTCGGTAGCGCCTCCTAATCTCCGTCTCTTGTATCTCTGCAGGATAAATGTGTCTCTGGAGGGTCAGTTCCTGCATTACATCCACCGACACCAGTTCCTCGACTCTCCGGAGTGGGAGTCTCTCCGGCCGAACGAGGAGGGAAAGTTCCAGGTACGAGCGGTTCTAAGCAGGGTAACTTCAAGCCGTGCCACCGAATGAGCTGGAAGGAGAAACCAGGCGAGGGTATCGGGTCGTCTTTTGTTGCTTCGTATCGGACTCAGGATCTGAGCGATAAGCCGAACAGGGAAAGCAGTTGTCCTCTTGCCTTTCACGGATCTTGTTGCGTGAGATCAGTTCAAGTACAAACGAGGCCGTGAGCTCTTGTTGGAGGTTCAGGTTTGTCTCCAGTCCAACCAGTCCACCAGGAAACGGACAATACTTTGGATTCAGGATTATAATAAAAGAAATATTTGTGTTTAAAATATAAGAAAACAGTGAAAAAGTCCATGATTATTTCACATAACCTGAGGAGCAGAATCCAAACACTGTATTTTACTACAACAGTTTATAACTCAGAGATATTCATGCTGCTACTAGAAATTATTAGAAACTCTCGAGAGCTGCTTTGCTGCTCGCTGACGTCAGTTATTTAAATGCCAATGTTTAACAAATGTGTTGACTGCATTCATTCCAGCATAAAACAACTGCAGTGCTGATTTTAGATCATTTAAAATCGTACATGAGTGACGTTTGTGTTTCCTCTGGCAGTGTGGGTGCTTTGCTATGTTTCAGTGTGCAGGGTTATGGTATACTGTCTTGTGTTAAGGTGTATATTCTAGTGTTTAGACGTATTTTATAGTTCGTTAAGATGTATTTTGTAAGGGTAGGAAGTATTTTCTCGTTTGTTAAGACGTATTTTATAGTGTTAAGATGTTTTTTTCATAGAGTCTATCTCCCTACATATTTTACTACGTAGTGGTTCATAGATGGAACGAGTGGCTGATTGTTGAGGCAGCTACTATCAGACTGTGTTGCTGCCTCCGTCCTGCCCCCTAGTGGCCAAACTCCACCAACAGTACCCTTTAACACCCTGCTGATGCTCCATGTTTACCCTCCAGGTGACCCTGACGGCGGAGGAAGACTCCCGCTACATCTCGTGGCGTCGCCGCCGCCTCTACATGCTCATATCGAAGGAGCGCTACATCGCCCGCCTCTTCTCCGTCATGCTGGGATACGACATCGCCGAGAAGCTCTACAACCTCAACAACAAGCTCTACATCAAGAGCGGCGTCCTGCTGGACATCCGCCTGCCGAGCCTCTACCACGTCCTGGCGCCCTCGTCGCAGGGCAGCGAGGGCGGCAGCGGCAGCGACGGCGGCGTCCCCAGGGAACACCACGACCAAGAACCGGCGCCGGCCTACCAGACGTCCGATCCGGTTCGGTCCGAGCCCCTCCGGCCGCCCCTGCAGGCACCGAGGAAGGTGGCCCTGGACGAACCCCTGCAGGCCGCCCAGCCAGAGCGCTACCAGCCCCACCCCTGGGCGTCCGAGCCGGAGCTGCCCTCTGGTGAGGACTCCACCAGCCTGGTCCTGGACGACTTTGCTGATGTGGCGGGCTCCCTAATGGATTATGGCAGTGAGAGGGATTATTTGAGGTAGAGGGTGCAGGGTTCTGGAGCTAACACACTGGGTCACCGTTAAGCTACATGTAAGTACCTCACCTGGGCGGACCGTGGGGCGCTGAGTGTGCATGAAGGTCTGCGGTGCACAGCGCTTACTAACCCGGCTTTGTGGTGCCACATAGCGACCGGCAGAGACGCCTGGAACCATGTTCACCCAACATTCAGTCACAGGTTCAAGCTGAACGCAGCACGAGAACGCTGTTGGATGCATTCATCCAACGACAGCACACGTTCTGTCCCAGCTAGCATGGAACGTTCCCACAACGTTCACTAACATTACCTACAAGCTCTCATAATACGTTAATCAAGCGATCAAAGACCATTTTGAGGATAGTTCCAATGACGTTCCTTTGAGGTTAAAAGTCAACCGAGAACATTTTAACGTCATCGTTCAGAGAACGTTTGTCAGAACCACAGATTATGTTCCGTCACAGCAAAGGAAGAACGTTCTTCATACATCTCAACAGTGAAAAAACGTTTTCCAGCATTTGGGAAACATTCTCCAGACAGAACGTTTCATAACGTTCCTGTAATCTGATATATTAGAGGTGGAACGTTTGTTGGAGGAACACATTACAGAACGTTCTCCTGTAAAATGTTTCTGCAATGACATCAAGGGGAAGGACGTTCTCAATGAAACACTTGGGAAACGTTTTTAAGACGTTATCAAGACCTCAGATGACAAAATGTTTGCTGTACTTAAACGTTTCTTATCGTTCCTGTAACGTGATACAGCAGAGGTGGAACATTTTGCCTTTTTGGTGAAGGAACATATTACAGAATGCTGTTCAATAAAACTCGAGGAACCAAACTTGCAGCAACAGTGTAGAATTACATCTAAGACATTTTAAGGCAGTTTAATGGAACAAACGTCTTAATGCGTCACTTCGATGAACAAATGTTTTTCGGGGTTTATTGGTGACCAGAGACGAACGTTGAGGATCTCAGAGTTTATTTGTGTGACACATGAACCAGTCCAACCCTTAAACTTATTATTCTCCCAAAACTTTGCTGACTTCACGTGATCTTTACCTGCAAAGTAAATAAATAGAAACTGAAAAAAGGCCTTTTAAACTGCAACTCAACGACCAAATGTACTAATAACTGGATAGTATGCTAAGATCAGTCCAAGCTGATGTTTAATTCAGTTTAAACATAAAACCGTCAATCCTTTTGGTATTTTTCATGCACATCTAATCATTTGGACCCCATGTTTTTATAGATATATGATCAATACGCACTAATACAGAATTATGGTCATTGCAGGATACATGGTGCTGTTCTGGTGTTTTGCATTGAAACCTGAACTCATTTATCCCAGAAGCTTCAGTGAGAAGCTTTTCTTTGAGGCTCCTGAAGACGTTCCTCCTTCACCAAGAGGCTTTTCTTGTACTTCAGTAAACTGTCGTTCAGTTAAACTCATATATGTTCAATCTGTAGAAGTCTGACTTCAGGTTTCGTTGTTTTTTTGAGCCACCAGACCGTTTGCGGCGCAGAGATTAACACTAAATGGTGGCGGAGATTCTTGGCCTCCTCAGTTTGAGGGTCATCTGGATTATTATCCTATTTTCCAACCATACTTTAAAATTAAAATTCCCTCGGCGCCAGCTGCCCTGCATTAGTGCTCGCTTTGCCTCTAAGAAGCTTACGGTCGTGTTTAGAGCGGTAGCAGAGCTAAAATAGATCCGTAAAAACAGTTTAACGGTAAATGAACGTGTCGTGGGCTCAGCTGGTCGGGTCCGGCGTCTGGTTGTGCTTTCCCAGTGAATCGGGGGGTTTCTGGGTCCGGCGGCAGCTGTGTTCTGATCTGACGAGGATTAGCGCTTATGAATTCAGGGGATGCCCAAAAAATGTCCGTGCCACGCCATTAATCCGGCGTGCCCACCCTTTAGCTTTCCGCTCACCCTCCTCCTGCATCCCAAAGGCAGCTGTCAGCCAATCACAGGTGGAGGATCCGGTTTCACGGCGGGGCGGTCGGGTCAGTGTCGGGTTTATGTTGCAGAGCAGCTGTGAAGCAGCAGCTCCAATCTGTCCCACACCGGTACCACACAGATAAACAAGCACAAGTACAGCTCTGGACAGACGTTTACAACGGTACATAAATATAATGTGTTTGGAGGAGAACGCCAGACCGACCATCAGGCATGGAGGTGGCAGCATCATGTTCTGGTTCTGTTCTGCTGTGCTGTTAAAGACCACGTATATCGTGGCAGTCTTAGGTTTCCAGTGATTCCTACAAGTTTTAAATGTCTATGATGGATCATTGAAAAACACACATCACAAAAAACAAGTATTTTGGTTCTTTCATAGGTTCCTTAAAGGTTTTCTGTAACTATGACTAAACCTGTTGGATCATAAATATTCATACAGCAGCTGGATTGGTCAGATTTGGTGATACAGACAGTTGTGGTGATCAGATTTTCTTAGTGGCCTCTTAACTTCTCCTGAGTGGTTCTGATTGACCCCAGCTGCTGACTCCTCTGATCCAGTTCAAACAGAACCATCTGATCCACTCATCAGACTCAGACTCTACAG